GCGGCTGGTAGTCGCCATAGAGCGGAAACCCGTCGTCCCTGGGCTCGGCGTCGGGCGGGTACGCGCAGTCGGGGAAGTCGGAGGATGAGGCCGAGGGCGAGCCCCGCGGCGGGGCGAAGGCGCCGACAGCCTCGGCCCCGCCGTCATAGCTCTCCCCCTCTAGCAGCTGCCGGGTGCGGGCGGCCAGGAAGGCCGAGTTGAGCGGCAGGAGGGGCACGTGGATAAAATCCACCACCGCAGTGGCCAGCGGGGAGCGCCCGGGCGTCGCGGGCGCGTCGTGCTCCGCCAGGGCGACCCTAGGCGCCGAGAAGCGGGCATCTTCCTTGGGGACCAAGGCGACGCCTCCTGCAGCGGTCCCAGGAGCACCGGTCGCGGCTCCTCCGGCCGCCGTGCCTCCCGCAGGCCGGGGTTTGCCCTTCAAAAGCGGACCCACGGAGCTCTCGGACTCGGAGCCATCCTCCTCCTCCTCCTCCTCCTCCTCCACCTCCACCACAGCGGGCTGCGGAGAGGGCTTCACTGCGGCCGCGGCCCAGTGATGGCTTCCTGAGGTCGGCGGCAGCAGCTGCCGGGACGGTGCCAGGCCCCTGGGCAGCACTTTATGGGCAGGAGCCATCCCGGGGCTGTCGCCATCCTTGTCGTCTGGCCGGCTCATGAGCGGGGTCAATATCCCCTGGGTGGCAGGGGCAGCCCGGGCGTCTGGGGGAAGCTCAGGGCCAAACAGGCACCAAGGACTGGTCGCCTCGCAGACAGGGGGGCTAGTGTGGCTCTGCCCCGGACCTGAGGGCGCCAGGAGCGTGTCCAAGACACTGTCCAGCAGACGGCTGTCCTTTTCTGGGGCTCTAGAGCTACCACCTCCAGCACCCTCTGTGGCTTCAACTCTGGGATAGGCCCCCTCCACGTCTGACAACGACTGCTGGGCCTGCGTCTTCCCGTCCGGGCCCTGTCCCTGGCAGGGCCGAGGGAAGAGCAGCCCGTCCAGGGAGATGGGTATGGCCGAGGCTGCGGGCGACGCGTCCGAAGCCTGGCTGGCCTGATAGGGGCCTGTGTCCGGGCGTCCCAGCAGAGGGGATCCGTCCTGGGTGGGAGAGAGCGCTCTGCCCGCCACGTGGGGAGCCCGGGGATCCTTTGCCTTCAGCTCAGTCATGACGACCTGGACTGCACTTTTCTCCTCCCCTGTCTCTGGGGAGGAGGGATAGGGGAAAGACGAGGGGGTGTCGGGAATATAGGAGAAGCGGGAGGAGAAAATAGGTGTTGAATTTGGCTGGACCGGACAGTGGAGGGAGGGGGAACGCAATCTCCTCCTCCTGGGTCGGAAGGGGGCGGCACCGGTCAGCTTCTGCCCTCGGTCTCCGTCCGGTAGGCAGGGGAAGGGTGGCAGCGGCTCCGTCCTTGAGGCAGGTGGGGAGAGCAGGTGAAGGCAGCTGTCGGGACCTCGTTTGCTAACTGGGAGAGTTCTTCAGGAGCGTTCCCGACTTCGTCTGAGGACAGGAGACGCAGAGTACTCACGAGTCGGCACTTGAGCGGCGGCGGCTTCGAAAGCAGTGACAGGCGGCTCTCTCTCCCGACTTTTTTCTCTGGCTTCAGTGCCGTGTTGCTCCCAGTCCCTGACTGCGTTCCACTTCCCTTCTCGCTGAAACCCTGGGGCTACTTTGACCTCTGGGCACAGCGCATCCTGAAGAACAGCCTCGTGTCTGCCGGCTCCCTGTAGCGACAGTCATCTCCGCAGCTCTCACATATCTCAGCAGTCCGGGAGAGGGGACGAAACGCCTGCAGGGAGTGGCAGATTCCACTCCAGTTCTCACTGAGAATGCTGCTCACACACCAGATCCTTGTACACTCAAATACTACAAGGCTTAAGTAGTGACAGCCTTCGGCTAGCCCCACAGCTTTCTATCAACGCCTCCTCCCCATCTGGAGGCCCCGCCCAAAGCCCCTCCCTACCCCAATTATGGACCAGATCTGAAATTCTGGAGCTGGTGTTCCCAACTGCTAGTCTGAGTAACAGGTACTGTGGGATGGAGCTTCATTAGCATATTAGATTTTATACTGCCAATTAGGAATTATGTCTCATCTAACTGGAAAAGTGAGAGGATCCTATCAGAAGATACTTTCAAGATTTCAGTTTTGTAAAGATTTGTAACATAGAGGAAGATATGTGGCTGTATGTATTATTTTTAGAATAAAAGTATCAAGGATGATCCTAAATAACAGGAACTTAGGACTTCCAGAAGAGTGAGTACTTTTCAGTTTTCTCTTGCTACAGCCGACATGTCCTGCTCCTCTTGAATAGCCCTCAAGGTGGCAGAGAAATTTGGGAGGGGAAGATCATGGATAACGCTTCTCTACCTGTGCAGGAAGTTTGGATGCTGTGTGTTCTGCCCTAACTCTGACTTATTTTGAGTGTAAAGGAGTTAGGCAGGTAGAGGATGAATGAAGAGGATTCCAGGAAGCAAATATAGTATATTTACACATCAGATAGGAAGACATGGCGTGGGAAGCTATTATGGGTACAGCATAGAGTAAATGTGGGAATGGAAGGGCATAAGGCTAGATAAATGAACTAATTTATTATTAATACTGTTGCTGTTGCTTTGGGGCTTTCCTCTTTCCAGTCCATTTTAAACCACTTAACATGCTTTATTGGATGTAATTAACAGACCATACAGTTCACCTGTCTTAACGTGAACACTTCAATGGAGTTTTTAAAGCATATTCACTGTTGTGTGACTATCACCACTATTAATTTTGGACCATTTACATCACCCTGCCCCCCCCCGAAAAAAAACCATACCCACTAACAGTCACTCCTCATTTTCCTTTAAAATCTATGAGCAGCCACTGAATCTACTTCTCTTCTCCCTGGATTTGCCTATTCTGAACGATTCATATAAATGGAATCATACCATATGTGGTCTTTTCTTCTGGCTTCTTTCACTTAGCATAATGTTTTCAAGGTTCAGCCATGTGGTAGCATGTATCAGTACTTCACTCCCTTTTATTGCCAAGTAATATTTCATTGTATGGATTTACTATGCTTTGATTATCCATTTATCAGTTATTGGACATTAGGACTGTTTCTACTTTTAGGCTACTATGAACAACTCTGCAATGAACATTCATGTACAAGGTTTTGTGTGAGCAGGTATTTTCATTTCTTAGGTATACACCTGGGTTTAGAATTTCTGGGTCATGTGGTTACTCCTAGGTTTAACCTTTTGGGAAGCTGCAGACTGTTTTCCAAAGTCACTGCACATTCCCACCAGCAGTGTATGAAGGTTCTGATTTCTCCACATCCTCAGAAATGCTTATTAAAATGTCTTTTTTATTATAGCCCTCACAGTGTGTTTTTTGTGAAGTTGTATCTCACTGTGGTTTTGATTGACATTTCCCTGCTGGTTAATGCTGTTGAATCAGTAGAAGTTGTAGAATCCGGATGGCACTGCCGGGTAATCTTTTAAGAACTTTTCATGTATTAACTTATTTAATCTTTCAACAGTTCCATTTCATAGCTGAGAAAACTGAAACACAGAGTTGCCCAATATTATAAAGGTAATTAAGTACCAAAGCCGTATTTGAATCCTGGTGATCAAATGCTAGCCTTCTTAGGAGTGTGATTTTTAAATAGCATGTGGCTCAGTATGTGGATTGCAGGTTGCTGTAGTCATAAAATTGGCACTAAGTCTCATTTTACATGGCAGACTATATTTGATTGGCTATAAAAATTCCCTCAAACCAGACAGTCTGACTACGTTGTTTCATAAGATCAAAAATCTTGAAGAGAGAAAAGAATAATAAAGATGCCAGATTGTCCAAAATCACCATTATGCCATGAAATCTGATGCTGGTTAATTAGCATTGTTGGCACAAGGGTTCCCCAATATACGAATCTTTGAGTGAAACAAACTCACTAAATACACTGGTTAAAAATAGAACTACTACATATTCCAGCAATTCCACTCCTGGGTATTTATCTGAAGAAAACAAAAGCACTAATTAGAAAAGATATATGTACCCCTATGATCACTGTGGCTTTATAATAGCCAAGATACGGAAGCAACCTAAGTGCCTGTCAGTAAATGAAAGAATTAAAAAGATGTGTGATATATTTTATATACGTATATTTATATATACATATATATATATAAAATGGAATATATAGTTTTATATATATATATATACATAATGGAATATTTCTCAACCATAGACAAGAATGGAAGCTTGCTATTTGTGACAATATGGATGAACTGTGAGGACATTATGTTAAATAAGTCAGACAGAGAAAGACAATACTACATGATTTCACTTATATATGGAATCTAAAAAACAAAACAAGTGAACAAACAAAACAGAAACAGTTATAGATATAGAGAACAAACAGGTAGTTGCCAAAGGGGAAGGGGGTGAGGGGAATGAAAGAAATAGGTAAGGAGATTAAGTGGTGTAAACTTCCAGTTATGAAATAAATGAGTCACAGATATGAGATGTACAGTATAGGGAATATAGTGAGTACCTATGTAATATCTTCATGTGGTGACATATCATAACTAGACTTATGGTGATCAGTTTGAAATGTATAGAAATGTCAAATTACTAGGTTGATAGAGTGAACTAACACAGTATAGGTCACTTATACTCAAAACAAACAAACAAAAAAGCAATCTCAGAAAAAGAGATGGAATTTGTGGGTACCAGAGGAAGGGGAAGTTGGATGAAGTAGTATCTGTCAGTTTTCTATACTGCACAGTTACTCTTTTTTCCCTCTTTCCATATTGTGGTCTTTGGAAGGAAGTCACTCTGAATAGCCCACACTAAGAGAATGTAGGGGAGTAGGGAGTTACTCCTTCCCTCCTTTAGAACGGAGTATCTACATAATTTACTTGGAATTCTTCTGTATGGGAAATTTACATCTCCCCCATTTACTAATTTATTCTATCTTTTATTTATACCAGTATGGACTCATGGATTTTTTTTTCTATACTCTGAGTTATAATCCAATACTATTTTTTGGCTCAAGTTGTTCCAGCTTTGAGCATTGGGAGCTCATGTGTGTGTTTGTGCATGTGCACATGTGTATTTGAGCACCTTCTTACTTTCTGGCATTACAAAATGCCCTATCCTCATTGGAACCAAGCAGGACCCTATTATCATCAGTGACAATGTGGTATTTGTAACTGCTTGGTTGTAGTTAATTTTGTAATAGTTTAAATGGCTTTGCCAACCAGGGTTGGGCTGAAGAGGAGGAGGGACTTGAGTGGTCCACCCAGTCCCTTCATGGTGCTGCATGTGGGGATCATGATCAGTGCCTTGCCTTTGTTCCCAACACCTCAGAAATGGTAGTTGAGTGTTTT